CTATATGCTTTGTAATCAAAGTCGTGTAGAAATTAATAGTATATCTAAAGTATTCTCAGGTGCAATATATAGTGAACAACATTGCAATGTAATTTTTTGTACAGTACACATAATGCATACATGAATGCAAAAAATCTATCATCCTTTAACTCACAATCAAATGATTCTAGAAATGAACAAAACAACAAAGGCTGATTATAAAAAGTTATCTGTAATGCTATAAAAACATGTTCTGTTTCTAAAGTCACTCATTATATTAATAGAAATTATACTAATAATATAGAAAAGTGGGCCCTTTGGGCTCATCAACATTCTTTCTTGTTGCTGCAGATTACTACAACAAATCCTTTAGAGTTATATCATAGTAAGCTCAACAAGACAACTTCAAAACAACATGAATTTATTAGTAAGTAGTATTTTGAATTTTGTTATATAATACTTAATTGCAATTTCTTATTGTCTGAATTAGTCATCAATAATTAAATATTTCATAAAACTTATAATCATCTTGTAGATTTAATATTTTTACATCCTATAATAATTATTGTTGTAGCTGAAGCTTAAAATTTTAAATACTTTAATATGAATTTTCAATGCATTTTTTAGCCTTTTTTATTATTTTTAATTTTAAGCTTTAACTATTTTAAGTCTTAGCAGCAATAATTATTATAAGTTTTGAATATATAATATATACTAAGTAAACATTAATTTTAATTTTAAGCATCTGCAATAGAATTGTTAAGTTAGACAATAAAAAAAAATTTGATTCAGAAAAAGCTATTATAAATTTTTTTCAAAAAAATATCTCAATTTTTAATCTTGATAATAAAATACTCAAACAAATCCATAATTTCTATATCTAATTCAAAAATTAATGACCAGTGAGATTGCTGCAATAAACATAAAAATTAAAAAAGAAAAATTACCTCCAAACTTAATAACATCAGAGTGCATATATATTTTTTTTCATTATTATTTGGTTCCTTGTAAACACATGTTTCATCAATATCTTTTTGGTTTTACCTCTAATAAATTACTAACAGTAAGTATTTGGAAAAAGTTTTAAAAGAAGTTTACAAATACAGATATAAAAATATATGAAGGTAATCAAATAATCAAAATTCAAATATCTGTTCAATCTTTAGAAGAGAAAAAGATAGATACACATAGGTTGCATATTAGCAAGATTATGAAAAAAATACATAACAAATATTATATAGCTAAAAAAAACGATAATGTGAATACTGCTAATGACTTTATTATGCAACTAAACATGTCATTAAGTTATATTCTTGATACATAAAAGTAATATTAGTTTAAACTAAAGTGCTTGTGAATATATGCTGTTGTTTTTTTTTTTAAAGTTAAAATAAATTAATATATAATTTGCTGCTTGTTATAATAGTTATATATTATATTAATTACTCTTTACTGCTTACATATAATGATGAATGGTTTTATCATCTTTTCAGGTTCCTTATTATAATATAATATATTTAAATTAATACATAAATTCTATTTGCAAAGTGAAATCTTATAAATATAATATGAAGTTAAAAAATTCTTATATTCAATATATTTCATTAGCAAAATCAAAAAAATAATTATAAGCTATATGCCAATCTTTAAATAAAGACTAGTTTTTTTTTAAATAATATATACTAACAAGTAAAATATGTCACATTTGAAGTTGTTTCTTTTTAAATAATATCTAAATTAATACTTGACTAAAATTATATACATACATAAAGATCTAATTTCAAGAGCTTAATTCTAATTATGATAATTATAATTTTAAGTACTTTTTTATGAGTTTCATATAAATCTATAAAAAATAGACAAGCCTATTAAACAAATATCAGTTGAATCTCTTTGAATTTAATATAACACAAAGATATATATAGGAGTAAGTAATTACAAACACCAATCTACAAATTCTAGACATAGGGAAATAAAAACTAAGAGAAATTAAAAACAATGATTTAATAAGAGTAATGTGCATTAAAGTGTTAGTTTACACAATTTTTTATTTAAACAGTTTATAAATAAATCTTTTAAAAGCTTAAAGCAAATATTTGTATTAATATTAAAATATAAATTAATTATGTAACTTTTTTTTTTTATAGTTAATTAAAATAAAGTGTTATTGTACAGGATTGCATATAGTACACCTTGGAGAAGTATTTTCTTTAAATAATCTTAAGGTACTATTTAATTGTAGATTTTAAATTTTTAAAAACTATTTTGATACTAATATCCTGACTTAACTCTTTCACATAACTTAACTCTCTCACATGACTTTTGTTAGAAGGAAATTTGCAACTAATTAGTACATTATTATCTTAGTAAATTAGTAAGATAAATATTCTAATTTTTTTATTATATATAAATATACATCAACAAAGTATTTTAATAGCTTTTAAGTATAACCAGAATATTATCCTTTAATAACAACTCAGATAGTTATTATAGCAATTTATAAGTTATATTAAAGTTATTTACAATTAAAAAAAAACTATTTTAATGACTTAAAAAAATCTTAACTTTACAATCAGTAAAGTTCAAATTTAGACAATCAGTAAAGTTCAAGTTTAGACTATTAATATGAAACTTCTGAGTATTATTATTTTGAGTTGCTTGCAGAATCAATAAAAAAGTAAATGGAATCTTGATTAATTTTAAATGATTGAATTGATTTTGATTATTGTAATATTTATTATTGATTCTGCTTATTTTGTGACCTATACATATTATGTCTCTATTATGTAATGTTTGGTAATACCTATTCCAATACTGTATAACAAATATAAATACTTAGAAAAAAAATAACTATTACTGCCAAATAATGAATGATATAATCAATATGGTTAATTACTTAATAAATTAATTTGTAATTTGTTATTTAATCAGATTGGTATTGAAAAAAATTAATTTTTTTAATATTTTATTTAATTAATAATTAGTTATATATGAGAAATAATACTAATATTATTAAGCAAAAATAGGATCCTATAGCCTAGTAGTCTAGATGCCTCTTTCTCTACAGACAAGTTTGATAGTTTAATTTTAGCTAAAGATAAAACTCTGTAATCTATGAAAGTATATGAATATACATGAAACCCTGTGACTTAAATCTATATGAATAGAAGATCAGTATATAAGAAAGTTTTCAGAAAGAAGTTTTCCAATGTAAAGAGTTAGTGTTTGATATGAGAGAAGCAGTAAACATATCAGAAATGAAAAGAAGACACACTAGCAAGTAATATAGTGAACATAAAAGAAAAACTATAGAAAAGGAATGGATTTACTAAAACTTGAATATTTCTGATACTAAAACTAGTTTAGTAGATATGAGATATATTAACACAAATAAAATCTAAGAGGGTAATCTTAATACCATACTTAGTAAGTTTGTGTTAAAGATAAATTCAAAGGACTATGAATACTCAGTAACATCCAATGAGATGGTACTTTGATATAAATAGTAATTAAATAACTCTAACCTGATATGTTCATGTAATAATAGAAGATTGTAATGCATAGGATTGAAAATCAGAAAGTTTAAATAGGAGATTCACAAGCAGAACTTAGGTATGGTAGCTAGCAGGTAACCCTTGGGCAGAACCCTTAATTAAATAATGACTAAAGTTATACATGTGACTAGTTATACTTTTATTAATAAACTTTGTATTAATTAATAACTAGATATTACTCAATAAAAGATAAACAGGCAAAATTGTCATTTATAATACAAAAAAAAAAAAAAAACTAATATTATCAAGCTTAGCTACACAGTTTTAACTAGCTACTTCATTTTAGTTACCTGGCTTTAACTACTCAGCTTTAACTACTTGGCTTTAACTACCTGGTTTTAACTACTTAGCTTTAGCAGCTCTGCTTTAAAACTACTCTGTTTTAGCTACTTTGCTTTGGCTATTTGGCCTTAACTACCCGGCTTTAACCATATGGCATGAGAGCCACTAGGGTTTGTGGTTGTGGCTAATACAAGCCACCGCCACTGTGGCTTGAGTTCATGTGACTACCCGGCTTTAGACATCTTCCCCAGTATCGCCACCAAAAAAATCATGCTTACGTGACAACGATAAAAATTCTAATTCGTTAATATTAGGGTTAGCGTTATATTATGATTAGATAATAGTGAGGATAT